CTCGGCTATCGAGGACGTTAGCTAACACTGAGTGCACAAGCATATGCTAACGTGAGGCGGTATCATTCAACAGAAACAGGCTGGCAAGAGGCACCGCCTGATGGAAAATCCATCCATTGATTTTCCGAGGGCTTGCCCGATCGTGCAGGAATGTCGCTGTCGCTGCTCCTGCTGTCTACAAACAAACAACCCAAATAATATTTGCTTTCCAGAGACAGCTGGTGTCAACAGCAGCATGCATTTACTGTCCTTTATTCTCCAGAATAAACTGAGATTTTATTATTGAATATGCTTTAAAAATCGCCTCTGGAATTCCTGATGGCATTACCGTTGATAAACACCTGTGTATTTTCAATCCCTGACAAGGCACCGGTTAGCATTCAGATTCTTATCAATTCTTTTCAAGAACTGATATTAAGAAGAATTGTTACACTCAAGCACATTTACTAAGGAACAGAAGGGGAAGAAAAAACTGTATCTGATTAATAGTACAATAACAGTAATAATATAGAAATGTGCTCTTGGGAAATATTTATCACAAGCAAGTGCTTCTCAGAGTATTTACAGCAGATTTTGTTATAGCTCACAAAAAAATATAATTTTGTAAGGATTTTTAAAAACACTTATTTCTCTTCCTTACTCTGTATGTTGGATTCTGCATAAAGGAATGTTTTCCTTTATGGAAAGGGGTTAAAAAAAAAAGTCACTCTGTTTTCCCACCAATCCTGAACAGCTTTCTTTAAAAGACAACACATGCAGAAAATAGAGACAATATGAAATGCATAACAAGTTGTAGATTTGACCATTATGTTTAGAGATGCCGGGCTATTTCATCCAGAAATATTTTGGTGGAAAATACCCGTTGGTCAAATCTGGGTTGTTACCATGGGAATAGCTTTTTGGACCGAAACTGTATCCTGGACCCACGATCAAAGAGAATTATATTTCTATTTTGGAAATGAAGAAGTATGTTAATTTTAAAAAAGAATCCGGCATTTGTACAGGACACTCCGTTCCCAGTCTGCAAGCTGTATTTGCACAAACACAGGAGCAGACAACAGCAAGAGCAGCGTCTGTAACCCCACTCAGGGGAACGGGCTGGTGGGCACCGCGCTGCCCTCGCTCCCCTTGGCTCCGAGTGCCAGGAGCACCCACTGAAATAATGGGGTAGGGAAGTTCCTCCCATTGCAAAACCCGTTGTTTCCTAAAGTGCAAAATTATTATTATTTTTTTAATTTTAAAAATCATATTTTTTTTTGTCCCAATGTTTATTATCGCATCCTCTGAAATAATAAAGCTGGCAAGAGCTGCATGTCTGCCCGAGCCATCTGCTGCTGCCGAACCTGTCCTCCAGTTCCTCGCTTACACCGCCTTGACTTCACTTATTTCACTGGCACACTGAGGGCAGGACACAAGCAGGTTTGGGGTGAGAAGGAAGGACTGATGAGAAGCACTTGTCACACCACAGGGGCACTTCAGCAGCCACCCCCAGGGGCTGTGGAGGTGCTGGGGTTCCCACTCCAAGCCAGGCACCCGCACAGCTGCTCCAGGGCAGGCATCGCATGGTACAGGAGTAATTTGTTATTCCATATCCCCCACACACCCTTCCTTTTGCTTCCCTGCAGAACAAGTAGTACCTGCACACAGCCACCACAGCCCTCAGGGCCCATTTCAGAAGATGCTTTTGCTTTTAATATGAAGAAGAAGGTGAAGCTTTCGCTGAAAGTCTGATTTTATAGGTATCGAGCCAGGTTTTTATGGATCGGAATAGTGTGCTCCCATTACTTCTTCTGACATAAAGAAAGAAAAAAAGAGACTGCCAGTATGACACAGCTAATTAAACAGCAGCTTTTTAATAAGACAACTATAAAACTTGAAGATGAGCCGAGATTCCCTTAGGCCACAGCACCATAAACACTTAATTTTAGTTTGTCAGATACAGAAATCCTCCGAAATTACTTAAATGACACTTTTAGCTTCAGAGAATATGAAACACAGTGGTCAACCTTCCTTCCTTTTGACAAGCCATTCTGAAGAAACAGGTTTAAAAAAGCATCTCGGAGATCTTCAGTATGAAAGCAGTGTAATACACACGTGCACAGGTGCTACGTGCCCAGATGTGCGCTCCTCCAGCCCAGCGCCTTGCAGCTTTTGGGCAAATTTACCCTGACCCGTCGAGACAGGAGGCACACACACCTCCTGTATCTCCCTTCTGTAGTCCCAGAGAGCGCACACATCTCCAAACACAGACACATTTGTTAAATTACTTTATACAAACTGATTCTGTCAATTTGCCTTTTATTTACCTGTTTTGCAGTCGATGCAGGACTGCAGGAGACCCAACGCCGCTGCCCCAGGGGATCCATCTTTTCAGATCACCTGAACGCTGCTGCCCGTCAAACTCTTCCTTCACAATACTTCAGCCAAAGAAAGGGTGAGCAGTTTTATAGACCAAATTCAGCGTGCTTGTGTAGTCCCTCCCTGGTGATGGAAACCTTGATTTCTGAGTATTTTGCTTGCAGCTTTAGCATGTGATAACTGCTCATCCCATGGATTCAATGGAATAACCCAAGATGCTCTGCCCATGCTCAAACATTAAAATTTTCCTCCTGTGACTGGAAAAGGAGACGTTCAGGTTGATGGATGACTGGCTGAAGCCACAACAAACTCAGATCCTCTCTTTTTCCAGCCGAGCAGCCTACTGAGAGCCTGGCCACACTGCACGTATTTCTACGCTGGGAAACAATGAAGGAAATCTACCTGTGATCCAGCTACATGAAAAAAAGTCAGCAGACAGTCCTCAACCTCATCCACCAAATCTGAAAACCTTTGGAAAATGTAAGCCAGTTTTTTTTTTTTATTTCCAAGTCAGAGTGTTTTAACCACAACTCCATTTTCAGAGTCCCAAAAACTGTCACACACCAACCCCAGCGGGCCCACAGGGATGTCCTGTCCCCCAGATGGCCTTTATGGCCTCGCAGACCTACTAAACCCCTGTGTACCATTCCCCCTAAGAAGGAGATGTTGGCTTGTCCCCATTTCGCACACCTTTCAACAGCAAATAAATGGAGTTGTACGCACAGCACACTGCAGTGATGGAGAGAAATAGAACGAGAAATAGAGAAATAGAGAAATAGAACTACATCTGCAAGCAGCTCTGCATTGTGTCTGAAGCAGATCCCTTCCTTTTCCATCACATCAGACGTTAGTGACAGAAACCTGCCCTGTGGCACGCATATTTTGTGCCTACGATCTTATTTTCCAGCTGAAGTCATTAATGTACAATTTAGTGCAAGTTAGCTGTCTCATAAAACATATCTTAGCCTTATCAGAAGCAGCTCCAGAGCAATTCTCAAAAGAAATCATACACTGAATTCTTCTCCCTTTATACTCAAATACACCACATACATTCCCTGAAAGGCCACCAAAGAACCATAGTCATATTGCTGGGAAGAAAAAAAAAAGAACGAAAAAAAATAATGGGATTGCAATTCATTTCTAGGCTCCAACTGATTTTGCACTCCTTTCACTATCTGAATTTTTTCTCTGTATCATAGGACTACACTATATAAAGATTAAAATTAAAATTAAAATTAATAAAATGAGATCGCTGGATAGCACAAAGCCACAAGGCTAATTATCAACAAAAGCGATGGTAACTAAACTTAGGTCAATTTCTGAATACTTCATGTACCCATCTTGTCCTCTCAAGGAAAAGTGTATCAACAACCAAACCCCTATAACGTGTACAATCAAAACACACTGGCTTCCAAGAGACCTTTTATTTGTCTATGGGTCAGGTAGGTCAACTCTAAAGGAAAGAGAAAGCATACTTGTGGGAGGAGAGCAAATAAAGTTATAAACATCCCATGAAACTGAACTCCAGCATGTCTGAAGGAAAGGTTTCCAGCCATCACCAAAACTGCCATGAAAGCTTTAAAACTGTGTGGAAAAAGTGCAAGAAGCAGTCAATCAAACTCCTCACATTTCTGGACCTCATGGTCATCCCTTGTGTACCCAGGTCAGTGAAAGAAAATGCAGCCGTCCAGCTACAGGAAGAAATGCACAAACAGAAAGCTAGCTTACAAGAAGTGGAATGAAGTATCGGGAAAAATTACAGGTCAAAGTACAACAGGCAGTGAAATGCTATTTCCTGGTCAGGTCAATCTCTCAAACCCCTTCAGATCAACCCAGAAGTTTTGCTGCCCATAACGGATTCAACAGTGACACAGTTATGAACACAGCAGGGTTGAAGGAAAGAGAAAAAAAGTATTTTGACAGAGCTACACAAAATCCCTGAGATATGCCACAGAACTCCTGTTTTATGGAAAACCTTTCGAGTTTTCATTGATTGACAACCTATAAACTTTTCTCTCTCTCTCACACAGGCACAGAGCTTTGATTCTTCCAGGGAACCAACTAAAGGCACTAACTAAAAATAAACAGATCAGCTTAAGCATCTCCCTTAAAAAAATATTCTTATTTCACAGCATGCTAATTAATATAACAGAACCAATATTTTCATATCAAGATTAAGAACAGTTCATTTTCAGCATTTTTCTCAACAGCAGATCAATTTAAGATGCAATTACCACCAATGCAATTATCTGGCAATTTGCTCACTAAATGACTTTCAAATATGTGTTACTGAGATAAGGCAATGCCTTCCTTAAAGTGACTTTGAGCTGGTGAAAGAAGAACCTGCAGGGAATATTTTCTAAATGATGCACATCATGATTCTTCAATAATAAAGCAAAACTCTTGCTTCAGGAGTAACATATAGGCACACAAACAAAATGTACAGCTTTGTGGAATAGGAGGGGATCACTGGGAATAATATTATGATACAAAATGCATCTAAAGGATTTTCCTCAAAAAATATAAAACTGACTTCAAAATATTGACATCGTCATATATCTAACCCCATGACACAGGTGACAAACGGCTAGGAGGTGAATCACTTACTTCTGCCCTTTACTTTTTCTGCTCTAACTACTTACAGTTTTTTCACAACAGTCTTTCACAAGCAGCTGCACTGGCATCTCGACAACACAAATGAAAGAAAAGCCATTCTTCAATGACCTGGAAAAAGGACAGATAGGGAGGTGACAAAATCTGCAGATTTAAAGTTATTTGGTCTGGTCAAACTTTACATTTCCCGATTAGAACTAGGGAAAGATATGACACAACCCAATTATGCTCAATGTAAGCTAGTAAAACATGGAAAAATGCTTCCTGTGCACCCTGCTGGTCATCTCTAAACTCACCAGACAGCAAAGACGTTGAGGAAATCTCACTGCCCCTGAAAAGGGCAGTAGAGAATTCAAACCTCAGGAGAAAGCCTGGAAGAACTGGGGCTTTGAGCAGCTTCTGCACCTCTCCAAAGCAGAAGCCTTTGGCTCAGCTCTGGGGACCAAATCACAGCACCTAGGAACACCCATCATTGGTGGTCCTGCCTGAAACCAGAACAATTCTGCCAAATTACTCATGCAAGCAAGCATGAGTGCCGCAGGCAGCTGCTGCCCCATGCTGCTTAGACTGGAGAGGGATTTCCCACTGAAACACAGAGGTGCTCTGTTAAATGCAGTACCACAACCATGGGGGTCACTTGCCGTGGCTCCTGACCACCAACTCTGCCTCCTCACCTACCAGCGCTGACAACGAAGCACTTCTCTGCACAACAGAGGCCAAAGGAGCTCCTCTAGTGGCTCACTCATCTTTAGCTTTTCTCAACCAGTGCAATTCCCCCGGCAGAATATAATCCTGAACTTATCTGCATATCCGTGCAGCTTCCCAACCTTCTCCTTCCACTAATACCTAAATCCAAACAAATTCTGTGTTAATGCTTGAGGCTCGCAGAGGTTCCTCCTCCTATTCTGCAGAAACCCTTCCCTGCTTCAGCTGAAAGACTGAAGAAAATCATTAACGATCCATGATATTTAACAGTCTGTGACTTTTAATTAGTACATGCTTATTCAGATATGCAAAATGCATTTCTAAAACCACAAAAGCTGACTTATCATAAGACTAACTGCACCAGCTTGACCAAAACTGACTACTTTTCAACACAGAAAATTCAAAAGAGACCAAAACTTTGTGGTAGCTGTGACAAACCAGTATCTCATTTCCTTTACAAACCGTTCCTGGTTTAGTGAGGTAGGAATAGCACTATTTTTGATATAAATACGATGGGATGGCTCAAGAAGATGAACTCTTTCCAGAGGACAGGAGGTAGTGACTGACCAGTATTCAAACACATTATCTATTGATCCCTGAAATAAGGATTTACTTTAGTTTCTTTAAAAATTGTGAACTATGGACTCTAATGATGCTTTTACAAACAGTTTTATTCAGGAAGTCAAATATACTGATCAGATTTACATTACAGGAAAACAACTCTTTCCAGGTGTAAATAAAGCTCCACTTTGCTTTACAGTCTGCTAGAGGCACTAATATTTTGAGCATTACTTACACATAAAATTTTGCTTTCTGCTGAATCAACAGAATAGGTTTTGATTTTTCGTAGTACAGCAGCTAACATGGCTAAAAATAGCAACATAAAAGTACAGCCACTTTATGAAAATTAATTTAAAGTATAATTCAATGAGCGGCAACAGACAGAGGATGTTCGAAAGCTACGCATTCCCACAGAGCAGCACAACCATCTGCAGTGATTAGCTATGCTGTTCCGTCAGTACAAACTCTCAACATAAACGATAAACGTTTTCTTAGACTGGTCATAATAATAATGAACAGGTTAATCATATTGATAATAAAATCTTGCAGGATCTCCTGTGTTTTGGAATAACACTGCATGTACCTGAGTGCAGCTGGAGTTGCACAGATATGTGAATTCACTCTAATAAGACATTTGGGGAATTAGTTTTTTGCCCTTTTTCTTTTTTCCTTAATTCACAGTTACAGAATCACAGAATCACAGAATTTCTAGGTTGGAAGAGACCTCAAGATCATCGAGTCCAACCTCTGACCTAACACTAACAGTCCCCACTAAACCATATCCCTAAGCTCTACATCTAAACGTCTTTTAAAGACTTCCAGGGATGGTGACTCCACCACCTCCCTGGGCAGCCTGTTCCAGCTGGGCATCAGTGATGGGTGAGACTGAATAGTTTTGGCTGAGAAGGCCCTTTGGGCAAGGCCATGCTCTCGGGCGGTGGGACGGGTGCCCATGCTGCTGGCTCCCCAAGCAGGGGTGCTACAGCCTCACTGGGCCCCTTCTCCACCATTGTACAGCACTCTCATGAGGAATTTTCATCCCATCGTACAACCAGCTCCAACTTTTCTTGATGCAACTTGCACCCACTGCCTCCTGTCCCCGTGCTGGGCAGTTCGGGGAAGAGCCTGACTTGGTCTTCTCCACTGCTGCCCTCAGGTAGCTGAAGACTGCAGTTTGGGCCTACCCTGCAGCCATCTCCCCTCCAGCCTTCACAGAGGTGTGATGTTTACTCCACGTCCTCACGGCCTTGCACTTGGCTTTGGCCAACACCAGGAGGCTCCCCATGCCTTCCCCGTTCCCCACAGGGCAGCCCTGCCCTCCCGAACCGGGCCACCTGCCAGGCCGCTGCGCAAGCACTTCATCTCACCATCGCCGTCACCGACAGAGATGTTACACGTGAATACATGGCTGAATATCACCCAGCAGAAAATGATGTATAAAGAACTTTGCTCCCCTGTTTGTTCAGATTAAACGAGGAACAGCTGCTGTGCAAACGTGACTGCAGTTTGCTCTCTGCTAGAGCGTCGTAGCAGTCATTTCATTCTGATCCCACGGGGCCGCAATGATAAGGAGATATCACATCCCACAAAAGCATGAATGATCTCCTGGAAGGCCCATCCTCCTTCTGACGTGCAAAGCCTGCCAAGTTTCGCTACCTACCTTCCGCAAGCTTCCACAGATGTTAACTGATTTGGCAGTTTTCTTCATGACAGAATAAATAATTTTTTAAGGGTCCTGGCCAACATAAACAGGAAAAAAGCTCTGTGTTCAAAGGTCACGCTGTGCATGCCTTCTATGTTTTTGATGTACAAAGGATGTTTGTGAGGATGTTTCGTATGTATACAGAATACAAACTCAGGAGGACATTAACTAACATCCAACTCGTCCACTGCATCTTAGAGAAACAACAAAAATTGCTTCATGATGCATATAAAACGCTCTAAGAGCTGCAGTTATTTCAGCAGACTTCAATTGCTAGTGTTTTGACCATTTGCCACAAGCACTCAAGAGAGACAAGCTCACAAATGTCACTACATCTCAATTCAGCAGGAAAACAGCTCAACTCAGACATTCCCTGATAGGCGTGCAACTGCATTTATTTCCATCACACTGGTTACTCTCCTGCATTTCTGGATTTTTTGGCTCACCTCCACCCCCCAAATAGGGGAAAATAGGTTGAAATGGGTTTATGCGTGCCTCCTAAAGGCTTCTCTTCAGCATTCTTTTCCACCTGAAATAAATTAATTGCATCTACTGACAAGATTTCAAGTCCCGAAAGAAGTATTACAGGTGTTTTTAAAATTGACCATAGAAAACTCAAGGGTGGCAAGGAGCTCTGGAGATCACCTGCTCCAATCTTCTGTTGAAAGCATGGCCTTAGGCTACTTCTTCCCACAAGTACTTGCTTACATGTATTTAGAATAGAAATTATGACAATGACTTTTACCCCGTGCACATTCAGGAACTTCCTTGTGTGCAAGGAACACCAGTGTGCAAGGACTCGCTGCACACCCAGCCGGGGATAACCACACAGATAAACTCTGATGATACCAGAGGGTGGCACTACACCAGACCAGCCCTCAGCAGTTACACAGCTGTCTCAGGGACCTGCCCTCCACATGCCTTCAACTCGCCTTCAAAACAGCTGCTCTGCCTGAAAAGCAGTGAGAACTGCTTTGTGGGACCTGTCCTCTAGGTCTGTGTAATATCCAGGCATTTTTCTACAGCGTTTGTCCTGAAGCAGCACGTGAGGACATTAGGAAATGCCTCTTCACCTGGATTTCCAGGCCTGTCCACACTGCTGGACAGGGCAGGGACTCAGGGATGTAGCACCACAAAAGCCCCACACAGCACCTGGGTCACACTCAGATACAAACAGTGGTGGTTGATGTTCCTCTGCTAATCCTATTCCAGCTAACCCCACTGGAGCCAAAGCAAGAAGGGACCAACCTAATTCCAAAGAGAATAGTTTGCACTGAAAGTTTATGTAACTTCAGCCATTTCTTTAACATCTGGGCCTAAATGGAATAATGAAACATAGCAGATGCAATGCATGCGGCTTGCAGTGTCATTTAAAATATTCAACTGGTACAGTTTTCACCATAAATGCGTAAGCTGGCCCTAAGTCCGTCATCTTAGCCTACTAAAATTTCACAAGAAATCACCCTGCGGCATGTTTCTTGGCCTCAGATGACCGCAGTCCCCAAACAGTCATTTATTATTATCCATTCCCAGCACAACGGAGTACAGCAGTTTCACAAGATAGTTTTAACCATCTTTATAGTTCAGTCAGATGTCATACTCTGTGTAAGTCAAGTCAACTAAACACAAGAAAAAAAGAAACAAAAGGCTTTTTTGCCTTTACTCATCAGCTATCATTTGTACTTTAAAATACACCTTTCCTACAGCCTAAGCCATGTTTGCAGAAAATAGAAACCCCAGGAGCCAGAGGCCCACCTTAGCAGGCTGATTCTCCTCAGAAACCTGCCACTGCAGGTCTGAAGAAAGACTCAGCCACCTGAAATCAGCTGCCACCATAAAACTCAGTAAGGCAGAAGGAGATACTTCACCTTATGATGTCTTTCACTACCGCTTCCCCACGTATCATCAGCTTTCACACCTTCAGTCACTTTTATTGACCAGTTATACCAGAAAATAACACCGAGACTTTATGGTTTTGATCGCAGAGCAACAGATGGGAGACAGGTTTGGGAAGTAGAGGTGGAAGGAAAACAAACAAAAAATACAGAAGCCACAAACTGAACCATTCAGCTGTCAGGGAGGGAAATCCTGCAGGCTGAGGCTGGCTGGTGGCTGGGATCACTCAGTCCTCGCCACGCACCTC